CATCATTATTATTATTATTATTATTATTATTATAATATTATTATTATTATAATTATTATTATGTTATTTTTATTATTATTATTACGTTATTATTATATTAATATTATAATAATAATAATAATAATAATAATAATTATTATTATTATAATTATTATTATTATAATTATAATTATCATTATTATCATCATCATCATTATTATTGTTATTATTATTATTATAATAATTATTATTATTATTAATATTATTGTTATTACTATAATAATAATAATAATAATTATTATTATTATTATTATTATTATCATCATTATTATTATCATTATTATTATTATAATAATAATTATTATTATTAATATTATTGTTATTACTATTATTATTATTTTTATTACTAATATTATTGTTATTATTATTATTATTATCATATTTATTATTATTATTATTATTATTATAATATTATTATTTTTTTGGTAACTAACTTTATTAATTACCAAAAACAACATTACAAAACAAAACAACTAACACAGTTGCTTACATCTTCAGAGACTAACTACTCTTCCTCCTACACTATTACTAGTCCTCATAACCACGATTACATCTTTGAATTATTAAAAGAAATTCTAGCCATAGTTACACAAACTATCTCTTTTGCTATACTCTCTTCCTTTTTGCTCTTGTGTTCAAACATTCTGTTGTTTCTCTCTATCCATAGTCCATAAATTCCTTCTGTCAGCACAGTCTTGAACCTTTGTGTTGTAGCTCTTTTTCCTTTCCCATTTTGAATGCACCATTGCTGAAATTGTTCCCACACCATTGGAGCAGTACTACGATGATCTATGCTTCCCAGAATTCTCTTCCACACCTTCCTTGCAAATTGGCATTGTAGAAACAAGTGTTCTGCAGACTCTTCAGCATTCTTACACAGTACACACTCTTTATCTACTTCAATTCCCCATTGCACTAGTTTATCAACAGTTGACAACTTTTGATGCATCATAATCCACATTATGATATATGCTTTTGGTCTTGCTGCATTTCTGTACATAAGACATGTCCAGGCTGGTCTTTGCTTCATTTCTTTCAGATGGTAGTAGATTTGTCTGAGCACTCCTTTCCCTCTGCTTGGTAGTTGTTGCACTTGATCAACTAGAATCTTTGCATTCATTATTTTCTTTACCATCCAGCTTGCAATGTTACTCATCCTCCATTCTCTTGTCCCTTTATATAATATGCATGTATCCATTTAATCCATAGCTTATCTGCTTTGTTTTCTAGATCCCAGCATAGCTTAGTTATTGCAGCCCTGTTCCATATTTTTATATTAAGCAAGCCTAATCCACCTTCATACTTAGGACAACACACTTTATCCCAAGCAACTAATGCCTTCTTTGTTACATGGCTCACCCCTGACCATAGATAGCTTCTATATAAGTCTTCTATCAACTTAATTATCTTTGCTGGAATTATGAACAACTGTGCCCAGTAAGTCTGCACTCCAAACAATAAAGTCTTGACTAGTTGAGCTCTTCCTGCATAAGATAACTTTTTTGCTGTCCAAGAATTGATTCTTGCCATGATTTTATCTATAAGTGGATACTATTGAAGTGTAGTCAGTTTCTTTGATGACAGAGGTACCCCCAAATATTTGAATGGCAACTCTTCCATTATGTAACCAAGTTCTTGAACAATTTGATGTCTCACCTCCCTCTGTATTCCACCACAATAAATTGAGCTTTTGTTTAGATTAGCTTGCAGACCTGAGGCTTGAGAGAACTCTGAGAAACATTTTTGTATTGCCTTTATAGAATTAAGATCACCTTTAGAAAATAACAACAAATCATCTACAAAACACAAATGAGTTATGTACAGCTTAGAACACTTAGGATGATATTTGAAATTCTTCTCTTCATTAAGTCCTTTGAGCAATCTACTAAAGTACTCCATAGCTATAGTAAATAGGAAAGGTGACATTGGATCTCCTTGTTTAAGTCCTTTAGCTGCATCAAACCTTTGAGTGTTCTGACCATTCACAACTATTGTATAGTTCACTGTTTTGACACACTGCATTACCCATTGAGTAAATAATTCAGGAAATCCCAATCCCACCATCACCTGTTCCAAGTATGGCCATTCTACTGAATCATAAGCTTTTTGCAGATCCATTTTTAGCATACTTCTTGGAGAGACATTCTTCCTAGTATATGCCTTAACCAATTCATGAGTTAGGATTATATTATCTCCAATTTTTCTCCCTGGGATGAAGCCTGCTTGACTCTCACTTATAACACTGTGAATTACTCCATGTAGTCTTTGAGTTATCACTTTTGAGATGATTTTGTAGAATATTGTGCAGCAAGCAATAGGCCTATATTCTTTCACATTCTTTGGACTATGTACCTTTGGTATTAAAGTAACAAGAGTGCAGTTGAAAGGCTTAAAGAGTTTCCCTGTATTGAAAAAGCTCTTGATAGCCTCAATAATATCATGTTCAATAATCTTCCATGTG